CCCCCCATTAAGAGCACCGAGACGTGGCTTTCCGGCTTTCTAATGTGAAATGAAACGAAATGACATCTCGGTAGCGTGTCTGGGGGGGTTCGGAGCGGAGAGGAGCCCTCGACCTGGCCGGTGTCACCCCCGTGGGGTTCACATCTCAGGATGCAGGGTCCGTGTCTCAGAACGTGGGGTTCACCCCAGGGGGTCCCTGTCTCAGAACGCGGGGTCCATGTCTCAGAACGCAGGGTTCGTGTCTCAGAATGCAAGGTTCACCCCATGGGGTTTGTATCTCAGAACGCATGGTCTGTGTCTCAGAATGCAGGGTTCATGTCTTGGAACGTGGGGTCCACCCCGCAGGGTCCACATCTTGGGGTGCAGGGTTCGTGTCTCAGAACACAGGGTTCACCCCATGCGGTCTGCATCTCAGAACATGGGGTTCATGTCTCGGAACGCAGGGTCCACCCCGCAGGGTCCACGTCTTGGGACGCAATATTCGTGTCTCGGAACGCAGGGTTCCCTGCGTGGAGCCGCTTGTAGCACTTTGCGTAAACGCAGGCAGCTGCCCGGGTGTCCCTGTTTGATGGCAGGTCTCTCCTGGCTCCAGCCGTACGGAGCGGTGTGTAATACCGAGCGGCTGTCATCCCCCAGCTTCAGACAGGGACTATTTCATTGTTATTGTATTTACTCATCGTCCGTAACTTGCTTCTGTTTGAAAGACGCGTAGATAAATAGCGGCTGCAAAGGTGTATTTTAGCACACGCTAGGTGATGCCATGGTTTCCTTGTTTTCAAATGAGCTTTTTGAGCGAAGCGGGGAGCGTGTCTCCCATGCTGGGGGGACTTGGGGAAGTTTGAATGGATTCATGACACGCCGAGCGCGGCGCTGGGTGACGCGGGTACAGGCAGTCTGCTCGGCGGGAGCGCCGTGTTCTCTAGCATCGATGCAATTTGCGCCCACGCGTGAGCTGTTCAAACCCACGGCGTTACCCTGAGAACTGCGAAGGCTAAAAAAACCCCACCTAAATCCGTAACCCCCACCTCTTTTGTTTTTAGTGCTGCCCATCTGTTGGTATCTGGGATTCCTAACCTGAATGAATGAATGAACGAGGGGCTTTGGAGGCACAAGTCGTGCCGCAGGGGTGGCGGCGTCAGCAAGGGACGGTGCTGAACGCCTGTGATTAAGTGGGGGGGGTCAGTCGAGCAATAAAAGTTTGACTTTTCCTTCGGAAACGCAGGCATTTCTCCTGAGCCGCACCGCGTCATACTCCAAGACGACATGTATTGTCATCTCGTTTGGCTGCAAATTAGTGAAAACCTCTTCTGTCTTGACAGACGGGCTCCTCCTCGCTTCTGCGGTTGACTCACGTGTTTAAAGTGCAGATTCCAGCACTTCCCTTTTGCGCCCCTGAAAGGGGAAGGATGGCACGAGGAGACCGACCGCCGGCGGTTCCCCTCTGCCCCGGCACGGGTGGGATGGTGGGTGCCTGGGGTTGGTGCCGTCACCCTGCCCGGACCAGAGCGCGGGGCAGCCGCTGGGGTCAGGATTTGGTGCCGTGAGTCGTGTCGGTTCCTTAGCCGGGTTGAAAAGCATCCTGGAGCACGGGACTTTGCGTTGTAACGTAGGAGGGTGGCGCAGAGTGTCTGCGCGGCTCTCGGAGGGTGAGGTGTATTAGATGCTGAATCGCTGTTTTGGAAAAGCGTTGGTGGTTTTCCCTGTCCCCTGTCCCGGCCTCTTCACACATCCCTGCCGGGGGGAGAAGAGTTCAGCTGAGTGGTTGGACGCGTCTCTGGCTCTTCAAAGAGCGGCACAGCTGCTGCTGTGATTCCTTCCAGCACCTCGAAAACTGCTACGCTGTGAGTTTGGGCTCTTAGACGAGCCGGTGCGTACCTGGCTTGCCCTGGTGAGCGTGAGCTACAGGCTTGGGTTATTTGGTTACGATATTTGGACTGAACTGCCGAGCCCAAACATGGTGGGGGTGATGCCTTGGACGCGATGCGTGCTGACTTCATCCCCTCCTCTGGTACGCAGCTGGGATAACGCCTCTGTTAGAGACCTGCGGAGAGGTATTTGGATCTGAATTACTCATGGACTGCATCAGTGTGGAAAGATGACCTAAAGCAGGATCCGCAGAAGTGATTGCATCGAGTTGTCATGTTTCAGATGATGCTTAAAAGAATCCTGATGGCCCATCGCCAGAAGCCACAGCTGAAATCTCTCTGTGCTGCCTGCTTTGGTTGTGCAGCAAACCTTTCCATTTGGAACATTGCTCTTTACATTTACTGTTCCAAAATCTTGTTTAATAATGCAAACTTCCACTGGAGGGAAACAGTTGTGTCTCTCCCTGACATTAACGGTGTCTTCTGGTTACGTTGTGCTTCCTCTTGGATCATGAGCAACTATTTATTATGTTGTTAAACCTCTTTCTCGCAAACTGAGAGATGCATTTAGGTTAGGGTTTTGCTGAGAGTCACTTTGCTTAAGAGAACTTTTCAGTGCTCCAGGAGAGTTTGAGCTTGGAGACAGTGTTCCAGCAGCAGTGAAAATGTTACAGCCAATTTTCTCCTCCTTCCAGTCCAATAGTCCGTGACAGAGACGCATCATCAAATAAAATGGTGCTGCGTGTGAGTTAATGGATGGTAGTTTTGTTTGCTGTGTAGTACCTAGGTGAAAACAGGAGATATTCCTTGACTTTTCTTATAGATCATTATTGTCTATTTTGCAGTTTCCCACCCCCAATTTTATTTTATTTTTTGGTACCAAGCAATACCTGAAGTGTGGCATCCCTGAATTAGCTGGTGGGAAGCAGGCCACCGATGGTCCCGCTCACCCATGACCTGACTCTGTTTGATGCGCAGTGATTTACTGCAGGGTGGGACCATGAAGTCCGTGGAGAGGTGATGAATGGAACTGAAATGCGAGGTTTAGGTGTTTTCTCACCCCTTTCTTCCTTGTGCCTTGGCGTGATTTATTATTAGGCAAAATTAGGCTTGTAATTTCTGTAAAGCCTGCTGTATGTAGGTCATGGTTGACCTGACTTGGCGTTGTTCGTTGTGGTCAGGCTGTTGGCATTAGTGACGCAGGCTGCGACAGTGGGGCTGGGAGCGAGGTCTGTCTCGCCTACTGCAAATTCCACTTTTAAGACTAATCTTTAGGCAAGATACTGGGTAGATGGCTGGCTGCCTGAATTTGGTGAGGAAATCACAGGTAAGCCAGACCGGAGAGTGGGGACTAGTAATGGCAGGTGGCGAGTTTTTCTCCATCACGCGCGTCACTCAATAGAGCTCTTTGTGGAGCAGGTTTCCCTTAAAACAAATTAACAAACCTCACTCCTAACCCCAACTTCAAAGCAGGAAATCCTCACCTGGATTGGTGAGCTTTGGAAGAGCTTCCCAGGGCGGTGGAGGCTGCTTGCAAACTTGCCCCCTCTCTGGCAGCCCTGTTTCTGGAGCATCCTCAGTGCTTTGGGGCATGTTTGCGAAACACTCTCAGTCTCGCTCTCAGCCTCATCAGATAGTCTGTGAGCGATGGTTCCTCTGATGGAGAAGGAGGAAGGAGACCAGTACTTTTGCGGTTTATTATTCTTCCAAGATACCTGGCGTGGAAATAGGGCAGGCATCTTGTAGCTGATAACTGAGCGGCTTTGTGGATGAGCGTGTTCGTGTAGCTGGTGGCCTCGTGCTCTCTCTGCTGTCATGGCTAGGGTGTTTTACAGAGATGTTTAGAGGAGCAAAGCACCCTGTTTCCCATGGCTTCCTGCAGCTTCATTTGAGACCAAATGCTTTGTCCCCCAGAACATCCAGCTGGAAAAATAACTCCTAAGTGATGGAGTAGATGAAGATCCTGGGCTCACGCTCCTGGGAAACAGCTCTCTGTGTGTCTGCTGTACTTCTGCTCCTCTCTCAGTGGGGGGATTTCTTTTTTTTTTTTTTTGAACTCTACCATGTATTTTATATAATCAAAAATGTCTTTGCTGTGGTGTTCTGTGCAAGCCGTGGTTGAAAAGCTGTGGAAGTGTAGTGACATCAGTGGGGCTTTTCCAAGGCAGTGGTTTATTATCTCATTGACCAAAGGAGTCTACTGACTTGGGGTTTGAGTTTGTTTAAACAATTTAGGATTTGCCATAATCTCTCCTAAATACATTACATGTTCTGAGCAGTCAAACCGACGACTGAGATGGGCTGATAATGGCCTGGGAGCAGGGACTCGGTTTTTGCTTTGGCACGTGCTCATCAAGTGGTGGGGCTCTTCTTAATAATAATCTGATGCCATCAGCCATAGGTCTTGCAAAAGAAGATCAGTATTTCCCACGTTTTCAGAGGTGGGGAACTGAGATGCAGTGATTTACTGAAGGTCTTGCAGCCCATCAGAAGTGGTACCAGACTTAGGAGCTGAGCTACTTGCTCTGGGATGAATCCTTCACGGGCAGCAGGACAAAAATACAGCCCCTGTGTGTGTGATTTCACAGCTGAATGCAGCCAGGTAAAATGATTATTTTATCATTCACACTAAGCAACCACTGGTCTTCAGCGAGGTTTCTGCCATCTGCCAGCGCACACGTCGGGAAAGCCCCACGTATAGGACAGTGCTCGTCTGCTGGGCTGTGGAGGTGCTGGCTCTGCCTCGGGGGAGCGAGCGGTGCAGAGCAGGCGCTGAGCTTTATCAGACACGTGCTGCCTATTCCAAAGCATTTAA